GTGTGCTCCAGGAGCACCTCGCCATCGTAGTTGATGGACTCGATGAAAATCTCCGACTTGCTAATGGTGAGGTCGTAGAAGCCATACTGCGCCTCACCATACCAATCCTCCGTCTCCTCCGGGTTGGGCGTGGCCTCAGAGGTGATTCCGCCGCCACCACCGGTCACGATGCAAGTGACGCCCATGTGGTTCTTGGCGAAGTCGTCTGGAAGCCAAAGCTCCTGGTCATGGCGATGTCCTGTCACCAGCAGGTCCATCCCCAGATTGCGCAGGGATGCGTAGAAGTCCTGCTCATGTCCACAAGGGAAGTGGGTGACCACGATCTGCCAGTCCGCCTTGCTTTGCCCCATGAGCTGTGTGACCCACGGCTTCTGCTCAGCCCACAACGATGCGAACCATCCAGGGCAGCTGTCCACCGACTCAGGCCCATCTGCCGCAGCGCAACTAGCAGAGGGCTTGTTGTTCTTGCGGCTGCACATGTTGTGGTTAGGGTCCTCCTCTGGTGGCATGGCGTCGACAAAGTTGGAATCCAGGAAGAAGTAGTCCACATCGAAGCCAAGGTCCGCGTAGACAACGGATGTCTTGTAGTATGGTGCTGGCATGACCCAGCGGTTGCTGGCCCAGGTGTAGGAAATCTGCTGATCCCAGCCATTGTCGAACTTGAAGCCTCCCCAGTCGTGGTTTCCCAGCACGCTGAACCAGGGCTTGTTGCTGAGCCCGGCCCCCTGGTAAACACCTTCGAAGATTTGGTCGAACTGGTGCTTGGTGGAGTATGAGATCTGGTCCATGGGGGTACCACATGTCTTCTCGATCCCACCCCAGTAGAAATTATCTCCGACGTTGAGGACATACTGGGGGTCCTTGAGCGCAGCACGAGCTTTGAAGGCGTTGGCCACCAGCAGTTGCGGCTGGTCATCCACTCCTGCCACATAGCCGCACTCTGGCGTGCAAGGAGGTTGGCCTCGGGTGTTGAAGCACTCCACAAGCTGCTTGTGGTCACAGAACTGCACAGTGTGCTTCTTGTTCCACCGGCTCCTGGGAAACACGCTGGGCCCAGGTCGACGGCCCCAGTCGTAGGCGACAATGGTCTTTCGGCCCTCTGGCGGATCCAGCGAGCCGTCCATGCCGCCCCAGTCACCAATGGCAAAGATGTGCATTTCCTGCGTGCCATAGATTACGGTGGTCGGCCAGTGTTGGCCCTTGTAACCCATGGCTGACTTCGGCGGGACGCACCCAACGCCTTCGTTGTTGCCATCGCAACCGGGGCGGCGGCTGGCGTAGAGCTGGTTGCCCGCAAAGCAGTCGTTGCAGGGAGGTTTGCTGCACCCTGTGCAGGGTGGGAGACCGCAGAAAGAGTCGCCGGGTGGCGAGCAGAAGTACAGCCGCTGGAAGTCCGCTGCGGTTCCCTGCTCGTGGTCCACACCCGCGATTGCTGGCATGTTGCGGTACCAGCCTGCTGCTGAAGTGTCCCATTTGCCGCCACCAGCCGCCCACTCCACGACCTGCTTGCACCCCGCATTCTCCGGCAGATCCAACCCGCCGCAGCGGACGCCCTGCGAGCTCACGCCCACCGCCTGCTTTCCTTACCCAGAAGTGCCACATGCAACAACAAAATGCCGAAGCTTGCACCTATCCCCAAAAATTCCAGAGCCGCTACCTTGCCATTTAACTTCTGTCTAACACCCTCTGGAATCGACTGCAATGCCTACCCTGTTTACTGCCACGAGCCGTGGTGTCGTCTCAAAGAAAAGCATAACAATCTCCACTGACAGCCAAACAGAAGAAGCAGTCGTGGGGCTCAAAAATGAAGGACACTCGTCTTTGGACATCCACAACTTGGAGAAGCACTTTCAAAAACACTTTCAAAAAATCTCGCTGCCATCCCAAGGTCCCAGGAAGTGGCTTGAGCGATTCACCTGCGCCACTGCGGGCAAAATCAAGCCCAGGAGGAGCCAACCCGCCATGGCTTCTGTGCAACCTCAGCAGAGATGGTGAAATCTTGTTGGTTCGCTTGACTGAAGGCTTTTACGGATTCTGTGTTTTGGGACTTTTTACTGATTGTGACATCTGCAGGGGCTTACAAGGACTCTTAAGCCTTGCTTTCGGTTGTGCAGTGTGCACAGG